GGGCTCGGGGTAGGTAAGTTTGCGTGCGAAAACAGGGGGCACACCAATCTCGTTGGTCTCGATATTGGGATCGGGAGAAATGACACTGCGGGCTGCGAAGTTGACTCGCTTTCCCATCATGTTCTTTCTGAAGAGACCCTCCTTTTTCTCCAGCTTCTGTTTGATGCCATCCTCATTCCTTTTCGCAGCTGCGCCTTGGACAGGGTTTTTGCTCTTGTCGATCAGAGAATTGACAGACTCTTGTAGTTCCGTCCACACTTGGTGCAAATCGCTGATATCTCTTGCTCTTCCATACTGGTCTGTACCCCCGACGCTTTGGTGTATTCTCGCAATGCTACCGCAGTTTCGCATGATCATCTTGTAGAGGGAGTTCTGCTGGGCCTCGGAGATCTGAGAATCGCCGGTTCGAGCTTCGGGGCGGAACTTGTTTGGGGGAACAAGGATAGTTCGGATGAAGAACATGTCGGCGGAGACTTTGGCTGCCTTTTTGGTCATTGGCTTCGAGTTGTAGACGAGCGACATAATATCTTGTTCCTTGTGGAATAGCTCCTGCAGACGTGCGCAAACTTCCATTGCACTAAGGTATCGCTGCTGACCGGGGGTCTGAATAATGGCATCAGCTCTGGACTCTGCCTCCTCCTTCTCGAGGTCAGCCTCATCAGCATCACGCATGTCGACGTCGTTTTCTTCGCTCGATGAGGCTGTATCGACGTCGGCGACACCTTCGTCGGCATCGGTATCGCCGCGCTTCGACTTGCGCTGGCGAGTTGCTGTCGCCATGGAATCCTTGAGGTGTAGGTTTTTCTGTGCCATCTTTGCCAGATCCTTCTCATTAAGGGCCTTTTCGAAAATCTTAACGAAGCGATCCTTTCGGTAGGTAGGCGAGATACCACCGCAGTTGTCGCATCGCTTGGGCTTGGTGATTTCTGTCAAGAAGTCCTTGATGAGCTCTCTCCGCATTTCAATAGCACCTTCGTGCTTCCCCTTCCTGACCTCGCCCAGGTTAAGCTTGTGTGACTTCAGGGATTTGCGGACGAATGCCTCCCGGGCTCCGACGATGTTATCGACAATGTTGATGCCCTCTTCTTCGGCCTCGCTGTCGTAGTCGGTGGGCACTCCCGGAAGTTCGAGGCCCTTGAGCCCTTCTCCAATCGCATCAACCAAGTGAGCCTCATGCAAAAGGCCATATTGTAGCAGTCGGAGTTTGCAGGAGTATCGGTTGATGTCGCGATGGCGCATACGGAAACCTTTGCAGTAAACGCATTGTGACCTCAGGAGACGGAGGACCTGGTCGAGAAATACAGGATGATATACCGGCACGGGAAGCTCGATGTGGCCGGCGTGGCCCGGGCATGAAGACTGGTTCAAGTTACAGGTTGCACAGCTGTGAGGAGGCGTGTAAGTCAATTGAGCAAACGAAAAGGGATATTCCAGGCAAATTCATACAGAGCATCGCCCCATGAACCAAGAGCAGGATCATAGAGACCACCAGGAACGGGGTTCAGAAGATTGTCGAATGTGCTGTCGTTCTCAATGCGCTTGACCGAGATCGCTCTGATTTCTTCCTCGGTGAGGAACGTGAACTCGACCGTCTCGACAGACGACGAGATGGGTTGAGAGATGTTCATATTGCCGTTGAGGCGTCAGGTAACAGCCTGGCACCAGTCTGAGTCCGAACGGCAGAAAGTGTGGTGTTCGGAAGCAAAGTTTCCATACAGATTCCGCTTCAATGAGGCACTCGCTCGATCGCAAAATCAAACGACCGGGGCGGATGGTCCAGAGCAACAACCGTCGGTGGGAGACCGAGGGGAACTTTTTTTTTTGGCGGTGGTGGTCGGCAGAACGAGGACCCGCCTCGTCGGGTGGGTCTTGGTCACTTTTTTTCGTTGCCAGTGTGCTATCGGCACAAGGTACCAAGGCACTCCAAGCCGAAGAGGGTCCTTGCGATCATGGTGCTGTTAGTACCTAGGTGCCTTACGGAATACAGTGAAGCGTCTCCAGTGGGTAAGGTATCTGTACCTACCTTAAGTGCCAAGGTACCTTAGCATGGTGTTCACCACCTAGGCACCTACCTGCTTCAATCTTGGTTTGTGTTTACCTCACACGGACACTACGACATTCTCAAGATTTCAGTTACAACTGCCTGTTCGCGTAGCCATCCTCTTGGCCAAACCTTGCGACCAACAGTCACCTTGCCTGTCGGACTCTAATCAGGGGCGTTCCTCTTCATCTTTGAAGGAAGTCTTCTTGTCTTCGACCAAAATACTCATTAACCGTGCAACGGGGCCGCTGTCGAAGCCCCATCACGGACCTCTACCGCCCACCCTCCTTGCCTTGGGATCTCTGCGACTGAATCGCCCTTCCGACTGCGATACACAATCAGCGAACTCCGCGACGACGATCGGCTCAGCGATAGAGCGCCCAGGTTTTCCCGACATCCTTCCGACGAAGCACGTGTGTCTCCGGAAACACATACATCCCACAATTTAGTTTCTACCATCAGTCGTCTGGAAGTGGCAGCATATCAGTCTCGTCGCAATGGACCGGCAATCAGATTCGATAGGCCTTGGGCCTCGTCATGATCCCAACTCCCGGGTCACGAAACCTGAATCAGCCGCCGATAAGATGGCTGCGCTCAAAGCAAGAGTTGCAGCGGCAGTCGGCGTCTCCAAGGCTAAAGGAGGCCTCAACGTCGGGTTACATCCAGTCCTCGAGAGCCTTGGTCAGACAAAGGCGCCAGCTAGACTCAACGACGGAAAGCCATCGGGCAGTCGAACGCACTCCGACTCGAAGTTCTCAACTGGATTCAAAGCCCCAGATGCTTCTGGACGAGGCCGCGATGCGCCGCTGTCCAACCCTTATTTCAACGACCAGCAGGCAGCACAGCCCGCAAGTGGAAGACAACGTCAGGCGCGGCCGCTAAACTTCCACGCCAAGGGCAAGTTCATTCAGCAAGCCGCGGCCCTGCGGCGACAAGCCGCGCTCGAGGAGATGAAGAAGCGAATTGCGGCACAAACTAGGAAAGCCGGCATCGAAGATGAGTTGGAGATGGAGAAGAACCTTGTCGTCGAAGCTCCCCCAGACATAGAATGGTTCGACGGTGGGCTGGTCGACGGAACCTCATACGACTGTATCGACGACGAGTCCAAGCTCAAGATCAAAGAAGACACCATCATCACGGAATACGTACAGCACCCCGTTGCATTGGAGCCGCCGCAAGAGAAAAATACGCCAGCCCTGAAGCCGATGTACCTGACACCGAAAGAAATGGCCAAAACCAGGAGGCAGAGAAGAATGGCCGAACTCAAGGAGCAACAGGCAAAGATCAGACTTGGGCTGGTGCCAGCTCCACCCCCCAAAGTCAAGAAGAGCAATATGATGCGTGTTTACGCAGATTCTGCAGTGAAGGATCCAACGGCCGTGGAAAACCTCGTCAACAAGCAGATCGCCGAACGCCAGCAGAACCACTTGGAGGCCAACGAAGAACGCAAGCTCACAAAGGAAGAGAAACACGACAAACTTGCTACAAACCAAGAAAAGGATGCCGCCAAGGGTATCCATATCTTGGTTTTCAAGATTGATAGTCTCGCCAACGGCCAGCATAGATTCAAGATCCAGAAGAACGCCGAACAGCATGCTCTCACGGGGATTTGCGTCATGCACCCCAGAATGAATCTCGTCATTGTTGAAGGTGGCGAGCACAGTATACGCAAATACAAGAAGCTCATGCTTGAGCGGATTGACTGGACTGAGAACACACCATCGCGAGAGGGCAAGACCCAACAACAGGTTCGCGAGTGGCTGGTGGCAGAAAACGAGAGGGGCGATCTGAAGGATATGTCCCACAACGAATGTAGGCTAGTGTTTGAAGGCGAAGAGAAGGCGAGGGCATATCGCAAGTGGGGAAACAAGGTCTGCGAATCTGATGCCGAGGCCAGGGACGCGTTGGCCCGAGCCAAGATGGACAACTTTTGGGCCGTCGCGAAGAACATGTAACAAGAAAACCTCGCCAGTAATCAGTGAAAGATAGTTGCAGATGAATAGAATACCGGGCAGTGTTAACTTTTCCGTTTAGACCTGCAGCTCACAACGGACAGCTAATACATTCTGGCTCATTTCCAATCAATGTTGATCTCATTATGGACCATGATGGTTATTGTTAACTTGTTATTACACTCGCGAATGACTTGGTTATCGGTCAGCCGTACTCGAAACCCCATCATGGACAAGTATTTCTTCCCTAAAGTTACTGTCCCGTTCTTTCGGCCCAGAGAGATACGCCCTGTTCGACTAATCTATAATCGTCTCTGGGGCTATTGCAAAGCATAATAGCTGATGCCTAGATTTGACTGCGTTGTTGGACACGCCGTCTGAGTCAGCTCAGCCGGGCACCGAACAGCGGACGGAGACAGCCCTGGCCGTCGTCTGCCGGCATGGAACGCAACGGCCTCGTCATGTCTGCAGCTCTACGCGTGCGAGGGTAGCCTGCTTCGCACGCGGTGGAAGTGCAACCGGACTAAGGAAAGAATGAGATCTTGCCGGCATGGCCTCGAGTCTGAGTGGTTTGCTCTTGTCGCAGTCGTGTACACGGTGCTTTGGTCCTTCTTCTCAGCGTCTCCGATAAGCAGCATCGCCCAAGGCGGCAGAGGCGAGACAGCAATCAGGAGATTTGTGTGCAATTCATATGCTGGACAACTATGATGCGCTTTGCTTAGGGACAAAGCATAGACGATAGTTCGGTCGGGACAAGATACGTTTATGGAAACTTCGCCAGCATCCATCCTATTGTTTGTTACCGCTAACCGCCTTGAACAACGATCTCTCATTTGAGACACAATGGCATCACAACAACAGGGCTTACGTCGACTGCATTCAAACACTTTATGCGCGCCGCGACCCGAGGCTTTGTTGTCGCTGATCTGATAAGCCGGGTTGAGCGCGTGGGGGCGGGTGCGTGTCCGAAAAGTTCAGTGTTGATATGGTTCACAGTCGTGTTGAGGTGCGATAAAGTAGTTCATAATGTATTTGCCATTGCATGCAGTCATCCTTTACTGCTTGTTTAATGTACAACCCTTGCGTTAATCTGAAGAACGCATCGTTAAACGCCAGATTACCCCCAAAACCAAGACGGTCCCTTCGTCAAGCATTCCCAAACGCGCGAGTCATGAGCCACCCATGTGAAAAGAGAAAATCAAAAGACAGTCGCTTAGTTGCGCTCACCGCGGAGGCGGCGGGCGAGCTGAATGTCCTTGGACTGGATGGTGACACGCTTGGCGTGGATGGCGCACAGGTTGGTGTCCTCGAAGAGGGAGACGAGGTAAGACTCGACGGACTCCTGGAGAGCACCGATGGCGGAGGACTGGAAGCGGAGATCGGACTTGAAGTCCTGGGCGATCTCACGAACCTGGGAGGATAGGTGTTAGTGGTGCGGTTGATGTGGCGACACTACAGAATCGGCAACTTACCAGACGCTGGAAGGGGAGCTTGCGGATCAGAAGCTCGGTGGACTTCTGGTAGCGACGGATCTCACGGAGAGCGACGGTACCGGGCTTGTAGCGGTGAGGCTTCTTCACACCTCCGGTGGAGGGGGCGCTCTTGCGGGCGGCCTTGGAGGCGAGCTGCTTGCGAGGAGCCTTGCCACCAGTGGACTTACGGGCGGCTGTAGAATTACGTCAGTAAAAAGGTCTGACTAGAGATGTCGCGAAAGATAAAAGGCTTACTCTGCTTGGTGCGGGCCATTGCTGCTGCTGTGTGTGATGGTATTGATGGGTTTGTTTGTTGGTGATGATGTACCCGTTGGTTGAAGTGGATGTGTTGTGAGTGGATGTAGAAGAGAAGGATGAGGAGTGGGTGACGGGTGGAGGGGAATAAATAGGTAGGGAGACGGAACGCGTGCAGAGGGGAGTGATTGTGCGCCAAAAGGAAGGTGGCCTGTGCGCGCCTTCCTGGTTTTTATTCGGGTGGAGGGGAAGTGCCAGGTGTAAGCGTGGCTGCGTGGGTTCTTTTTTGGAAAAATGCCGTTTTAGCAGGCGCGATTGCTTTGCAAGGCAGGCGCATTTGGGCCTTTTGCGCTTTGTTATCAAAACGGATAGTTGGCTCATTTTTGATTGGCCAGAAATCTTGCAGCGAGTGTGACGCCACCCCATCTTTTTCTCTCAAACACCCGACAGGGGAGGGCAGATACGTTCCCAGCATTTAGCGGCTCCCAAGGGCCCACTACGGTCGTAGGTAAAGCAGGTACTGCATATGCGGCATACCTTTAGACTATGCCCGCAGCCCATCAAAGATTCAGCCCAGTGTTCCCCCCGTCTGCGGAAATTTCCATCTAAATGCGGGATGCGCAAAAGCTACGTAAGGTACCGGCTCCAATGCTCGACCGCTTTACGCGTTGGAACGAACTTGGGAAGCAAAGCGCGTGAGGCCAGCTGTTTTAAAGAGTGCCGTTATTTGTTCTCGGGTTCTGCCAGCGTGCTCGAAGGCGTTTTGACATGAAATACGAGAACAATTAACAAAGGTCTACATGTATGCCTTAATATATTCCCCCTTACCCGTCGAGCGTGCTCCCGATGCATGTTGACATGAGTAACCACTCGCCAGTCCAAGTTATCTCTCTACAGAGTAGGTATGCACATCTCTCAGGCCTTCAGGTTTCTGCATGGGGTCTACGGGGTATTGAGCGTGACGCGATATCGTGAATCTTTACGCGACTGGCGGATGGAGGTTCAGTGAGACTGTTTCTCGGTCTGGTCACTGGTGTACGACTATCTATTATGGCTGGAGCCTGGGGATGGGTGGATGGGGCAGTGAATGCAGCGACAACTTGGCCTGGACCTGAAGCCAGGACTGAGTTCAGGTTGCTCGTTCTTAACTAGATGACTCAAGGGCGCGACGAAAGGGGAGAGCCTGTGGTCACTGGTCGGTCAGTCAAGAGACTTGAGAGTCGAAACACCCTTTCGAGGCATTTTTAGTGTCAGCTGATGCCAAAGACGATTGCCGATGAAGTACACAGTTCGAGAGGTCACTGGCCAGTCACCTTCTTTCTCGGTCAGTAGGTTGTTGGCATCAAACCGCAAAGCAATCAATGATTGCCTGCCACGCCGGTGACTGCCGGTGACAGATCCGTTCCCTTGCACTCGAGTAGAACAACTGGAGGGTTACTTGTTAGCGTTTGCACTTTACAGATGGAACCGAAGCCGGAAACACGGTTCTGATGGCACGCGCCCAAAGTCTGACACGGTGAACCTCAAAGCGAGGGGAGCAGAGACAGACAAGGGACGCTTTCTGGTTGGCCGCATTTAATTGTATCCATCTATCTTGGCTCCTGCAGCACCGCTGCTCCAATGGGGAATTAGCTGAGATTGACGAGGTACAGAGAAAGCGGATGTGGTCTGTGCAGTTGTGCCTTCCTGGAGTTGTTTTTTATTTTTCGCCTCGCGTCGCGACAGGGTGTGATCCAGCGTGATGGACGTACCCGCTTTTCTCTGGCTGATCCCGAATCAGACTTGGCCCACGGACACTTGATATAAATGCCCGCCCCCCTCTGCGCGTCTATAGTCGTGTTCCCTCTTGTTATTCAGCACCACGTTATCTCTGCCAAAACAACCTCACAAGCTATTTTCTCGGAAGAGCTCATCATACCCCAACCTCAAACCACTTCAACTTCATCACTATCCACAATGACTGGACGTAAGTGCCGATTTCATATCGTACTTCTATCTTTCCCGGTATACTAACTTGACGTGATCAGGCGGCAAGGGCGGAAAGGGTCTCGGCAAGGGCGGTGCCAAGCGTCACCGCAAGATTTTGCGTGACAACATTCAGGGTATCACCAAGCCTGCTATCCGTCGTCTCGCTCGTCGTGGTGGTGTCAAGCGTATTTCTGCCAGTAAGTTCTAGTCCCAATCCCGGCTCAGCTCGCAGGTGACTAACACGCAATTCCTCTAGTGATCTACGAGGAGACCCGTGGTGTCCTTAAGTCCTTCCTCGAGGGTGTCATCCGTGATGCCGTCACCTACACTGAGCACGCAAAGCGCAAGACCGTCACCTCCCTCGACGTTGTCTACGCGTTGAAGCGCCAAGGCCGCACCCTGTACGGTTTCGGTGGTTAAGCGTCTTATTTCTGCATGTCTGTTACGAATCTTTCTTGGGCCATAACGCGATCCACCCCACGACGCGGTGGCCCATGCGGACTTTGGGAGTGGAGTGTTTTGTCACGAATGATCATGGGTTTGGCTGGTTTTTGGTGTTCTACTGTACCATACGGGAAATGGGGTTCTATACGGATGGCTTGGTTGGCTTGAGACATAATCCCTCGCCGAGGCACGTTTTGATCAAATTTCCTCGGTTCCCTCTTGTTGTGTCGTAGTGGATGGTGTGTTTCGCATTTGTGTCTGAGACTTGCTCTTCGCCGTATATACTGGCCTCCGTCTGCCGTCACCTGTCATTCTGTATGGATTACGAGGCGTTGGGTGCTACGTGTCGTATTGTAATTTTGATGTCGTTCGTCCAGAATCCTATTGAACGCATGCTAGTACTATAATAACTAGATTCGTCAGTCACTGTCCTCGCTTGGGTGGGCTCCGGTGTAGGGATCTTGCTCTATCTTGCATCGTACTGTTGACTTATTTGTCATTGGATGGCTTGAATCTGTCATTTGCCAGTGAGAAGTGGCTACCCTCCCACCAGTGTTCCCTACTGTATGCGCGTGGTGATGTCTTTTACTGGTAATCATAGTCTTATTGTCTTGCAGTTCCGTGTCTCGACCCATGTGCACTATGACGCCGCCACCTAACATGCCAGAGTTCGTGTATCTGACTCTTAGTGAAACCACTAAATATGACTGCATACTTTCGGTGCTTCTTTAATCCTTGTGAGGTCTTCCTTGTTGTGGTCCGTCTTCGTCGCTCTGGGGTTTGTGGCTGGCCGCCGAGATCTCGGTGGGCCAAATGCACCATCGAGCTGGCAAGACTCGCGCCACCTGAACCTGCATTTTATATCTTCTCTTTGTTGGGAAATTATGTGATTCATTTAGTGTTTTCTGCATCGCATCTTTGCTTGTTTTGGGATGTGTCATGGTCATAACTTGAATCGGTGGATTCTTTTGCTATCTCATTTGTTTTTGAATTAGACGAAGCTTAATTAATCACAAAACAATACAATACATAAACAGCACCCCATCAAGTTGGTCGACTTTGACAGAAAAGAATCGATCGGAGCATTAAACACCTCATGAAAGTCGAAAAGATCAATTATCACGTACATTGATGTCGCATGGCCCAAAGAGCTGCATGACGTTCAAGCCGGGTCCCAAAGGATCATTGCAGAAGGACTCAACACAGGCGTTCGTAAGGAACCCAAGCACATACAAAGTCAGCGATATCCAGAGAAGTCAGAGCTTTAGTGAGTGAGGCTCGGTGTTCAACCTACAGAGTTGGCCAGCCCTTAAGATGGCCAAGATGTATTTCAGCAACTTTACCCAGCGGCAAGATCCGTCGCCCAAAGGAGTCACAGGCTGGAAGACCTTCACGAAGCAAGAGGGAACAATAAGAGACACGAACTATCTGCTTCATATGTCTCCTAATATCAGAGAGCAGTGTCATATCGGCCTCACCCTAAACTCCCAGCATTCTGCGACGGTGAGTAGCACGCGCCTTGCCATTACGCAAGGCACACGACCAGCCTACCTCGATGCCAACCTCAAAACCTGAAGGGAACACGAGTATCTAGACGTTTGAAATGTCTCATAATGCTCCAGGGGTATGCAGTCAAGAACATGGGACGCAATCGTGGTTCACAGAATGCGGACATGCATGCGCATCGTCGTTGCTGGATCACCACCGCACTCCGTGGCACCGCTAAATGACATATCCCCATTGAATCGAATCCCCTACACTGCTCAGAAGCCCATCTCAAAAGGAACCAATATGGCGTGGAGATGAGGGTGGCCCGTCGGTACTATCGACAGGCTGAACAGATACAGCCAGAAAGAGCCGCATGCTACTTCAAACCAGCTACCTACCTACTTGATGTAAAGTACATCGGCACAAGCATCGGACAACAGGCGTACGTTGGGTCTCACAGCATGTAGTATGGAGTCAAAGATAGAGAGATATCATTATACAGCAATTAACCAGTATACTGCGCCGTGAAAAGGGAACAAAGAGGGTATTGTCGAATAGTCGACACGGCCTTTTCCACATATCTACTTGACTTGATATGAAGATTAAGCACAAGCCTAGTCCTCACTGTAGCATGAGATGTGACGGTAGTACTCTGTTTGATCGAATATCTTGCATGGGGGAAATGAAGAATACATGGCCAAGTTGAAGACCACCTTGCAAAGGCCTTGACCGAACACACTTCGATTACACGGTCAGATGGGCCTTTCCTGACCAGATGAAACTATTATCGCATGTATCTCACCGAAGTGGTCGTATGCCCTTACAAAGCCCAGCTATCATTCGGCTTACCAGACCGCACTTTGATAGAACGGATGCGGTCTGACGAGATCGTTCAGACGACCGTTTTCTCCTCCTCCAAATGACGTGTCCCTCATTATCCATAAAACACACTCATCACGAATGTGATCGGGGCCTCCCAGAAGCCACGTTCGCCAATGAAAGGCCACTTGCAGGACTTCCTAGCCCACCACTGTCTTATTGTATGAATAGCCAAATGATATGCTGAGCCTCGGATATTATCTGACCCCAATCGACCCGGAGATAGTGGACATTATTGAGTAAGACTAACTTGGGAGCGCGGAGAGCCATCCGAGAATAATGTGTTCACATCGTGCAGATGGACTGTGTCATTGGCACTCGGATGGAACATGCACGATACCTGGCAAGATGGGCGATACGACGATCTGCTGCCCAACACATACATGAATGACCTCTCCCGTCACCTCAGTCTTTAGCACTGCATGTGTTTTCCTGGGTTTATTGGGTTACACCAGTAAGAGACTATACCAAGGGCACCGGCTAGATAAAGCAGCAACAGCAACGTCGGCGAAGGTAGAAGTAGGTATTAACCTAGGGCGTGTTGAGAGGCGAACCATCTTGTCACCCGGACGAATCTTCCACGACAGGCGAGACATAGCCACCAGAAAGCTGGAAGCTGTCTACAATTGGGTCGGCAAAACAGAGCAACGAAGTTGGGGGCATCATGGCGTCTCGTCACTCGTAATCGGTATGTCACAACTTGGACATTTCCACCATCGACTTTCCATCGACTTTATCACTCCCGTACATAACCCCAATACCATCTTCGCTTTCGCCGAGGCATGGTTGTAGGATGACTGCCCGCGACTCCCTAGGTTTCTAGTCCGGGGTAGATGAGTCACGAGCGTGCGCGGCAGCAACCTAAGAGAGAAGACGTCTGCGTGGCAAGAACCGAGAAGTCCGAGTTCGACGAACCAAGCTGCCAACAAGTCGCATCTTACTGAGACACCTGGTTCGCATGGAAGTAATGGAGCGAGACGGGCGCAACTGGGAAGTCCAGCTCACTACGAGACCGAGGCTGAGGCTTAGACCCAACCAATGTTCAGGCACCCTGGCGACAGAGGGAAGCCAACGACTACGACGATCACCAAGATGGACGAGGTCCGCCTCATTCCGTTGGCTATCTTAGCTACAGACCAGTGGACATGCACATGTCACGTCTCGTCGAGGTTACTTGTGTGGCTGAACATGATGCAAACGGGAGACGGAAGCTAAGCCACAAGCTTAACATGTTCCTGGCCAGTGTGAGAGGGGAGGCAGCCCGGGATGTGGAGTTGGGAATTCGGGGGTCGGGAGGGAGGTGGTATCCGAGGTGCCGGAATTGGTTCGATGGCGATAAATGTGAGCTGGCTGGTCTTGAGGATGGGCGATGTTGTCGTAAGTGAGCACGTAGGGAGCCAACTGGCAGGTTTGGACAGTCATCTTCAGTGGAGGTCAGGTTAACCCGACATAGCAAGACTAGCCTGAGGTGGACGGATTACTGGGCCATGTGTACGAGGTACGGGCATCACTTCGGATGGTGCCGGCCGCGCAAGATGGAGAAGTTGAGAAGCAGCGTAAAGCAAGACGCAAAAGACGATGGGGGGCCGGTAAAATGCCGGCTGACTTGTTGCAGATCCTTTAAGCCCTCCCGCGGACAATCAGGGTCTTCCTGGACCGTTGGGGCCAACTGGGATGGGCACTAGCGCAGCATCGCGAGCGCACAAGCCGAGGGATGAGTCCTGAGTGCTGTTACTGGCGGTGGGCAGCTACGGAACCCACTAAATTTAGAAGTCCGACAGGACCCTGAGTCGACTTCTCCACGGAACGGAACCCGGCCGCCTGGGAAGGAATGGATCTGCGCCGGCCATGGAGATCTTGCACTTTGTCTTTCTAATCTCTGGACGGCAGTCCATCCAACTGATGCGTGGTTGGGTGAACCTCCGCCTTTTTTGCCGCCTGCCCTGTTTTGTGCATGCCGACACATGCACGCTGGACCTGATTTTCCCCCCTTTACGGATACTGGCTTCCCAATTGCCAGTCCCCCCCTCGTCTTGGGTACGGCACCATGCTGAATTTGATCCTGGCAAGCCTGGCTTGGGCACTCACGCACTCACGCACTCAAGTTTTCAGACGTACCGGGTCACCGAGTGTGCGAGTCACCTTCCACATATCCATACTACGTAGTCAGCATCTGTTAATGATTCCTTAATGTACGACACAGTCATGTTTCGTAGTCCATGCAACCGGGCATTACTTAGTGGAGTGCAGACGGGATTGATCCTGGACTCTGCCAAGTAATGGACGCTGAACAGATGTAAACGTTACGCTGTGTTTCGCACGTTTAAATTTTGTTCTATGTAAAGTGAAGCTAGTCTACCCCGAAAGCTCGGCCCCGGGCCTGGCCCAACGGAGCTACACAGCATCTCAGCGGATATGCCGGACTGCGCCGTCGGTCACGAAGCACAATAGAGCGGAAGAAGGATGGTTGCGAAGTACCTAATGATGTTTCAATAAGGTACCAATGACCAAGCGTGGGCCTCATCGGAGCCGGAGACAAACTGCGGGTTGCACGTAGGTGCCGCAAGAAAGTGCGGAAAAAGGACTTGGATTCCTCATCGTATTCGTGAATAGTGGTTCTGATGTTCCGCACGATCTGGGAGGGTGGGAGGCCCCGAGATGGCAGCTGGAAGCTACGTGCCGGAGCCACCGATGCGTGCAGCGTTGGGTCGACAGGTACACGGGTCTTGTCCAACGGAGACCCACTAGAGGTTCATTTTTAAGCACGGCCACATAGTGACACAGCGAGGTGTGGGTGAGTACGGAGTACGGAGAACTTCGTACGGATACGTGAGCTGAGTGAGGTACGGATACTCTCGGGTGGTGGGGTGGCACAACCGACACTGCCCAACAGCTGTGGTCAAAGGTTTCGGCACCTGGGTTGTGGCTTAACTCCGATCACTGTGCCGGCTTCAGCCACACTCTCAAATATCTGCATTGCATTGCCCACGGTGTTACGTACCTTCGAAGACCCATGACAGATTGATGGCACAGGTCCTTCCCGGCCAGATTGGTATCTGTTTTGTGTACAGATACCAACAAGCAATGTCCCAATCCTGCGTTCTACCGAATCCTTGTACTCACAGCGCGCAGGAGGCGGGGAAAACCAGCCTGACAAGATACGGAACCTATCCGTTCCAACTTTGGGTGTCGGGGTGACCTAAGGCGGGCGGGTAAACGAGGGCTGAATATCCTTGACTGACAGAGAAAACCTTAGACATGGAGAAGCCGAAGACTGGACCAGACCACACACACTTGGCTGCATGCCAGAAAAGATCGAGAATTTTTCTTCCTGCAAGCCTGCATGCAGCTTGCCAGTCCTGCAGGGTCAACTCAACGGTACCAATCGCACAGCCTGTCATGTCTCACTGACACTCGGCACCGGCAACATCGCTTTTCGGCCATCGCGGCATCGGCGTCAATCTCCGCATCGGTCAACTTTTCTCTCTCATGCTTATTCGTTTCCCGTATGCCTTGTTTTAGTTTGACCCTACACTCCTCACGCTGTGCACGTAATCTCATAGTTTGGCTGCGGATAAATCTCGAAGATGCAACTTGCGATCTGACGGATTTAGCTCGGCGTATCCCATGCGCATCCGCTCTTCAACATAAGCTTTCATCAGCTTTGCGGATGAGTCAGTATCATCTTGTTTTTGACAACACAGAATGAAGGACATATTCAAGAGTGATCGATCAGCCACTTTGCCATGTTCGCTCGCCCCCTCCTTCCCAACATAACGAGCCCAGGCTATGCGGTAAGGGACGCGCACGCATCTATCAGCAGCAAAGCTGAGGAGAGCCGAGATTTCTCCTCTGGTAATGTGGCAAAGTTCAGTTATTACAATGGGATGGAGCTTTACGAACGTACCCCAGGAGCCATAGGGAATGCTAGTTCTCGAAGTTTCTTCTGTGCGAATAATCATGAGTGCAACCATTCTTACAGTCCGCTTCTCTTGCGATCCGTCTCTTCCGGTTATGCTTCAGCTTTTGGGGCACTCACGCGCAAGACCGTGTTCGCGCATTTGAGTCCGAGAATGGTTGTTCAAACGGCTGGACCGGCCGACGGACGGGTTGAGCCCACCCTACGGCCGACGGAACGGCGGTCGAGACCGCTCTAGTTCTTCATGGACCCGTGTGGGGCGGGCACATTTCCTACACCGTACGGCAGTGCTGAACATGATAGTAGCTGTAATAGACGCGAGCTGGCAATACGTAGCACAGAGGTGTCATGTGAGGCTTGATACGAGTGGAATACGATGCCTCCTCAGCTGACAACGGAAACAAAGAGGCAATATCAGCGACGTTACGGATTGCGATGAAGAAGGTCTCGTCCGAGTCACTTCCTTGGCAGCTGGGAATCAACATCCATTACACCTAGAGCTGGCGCGGCTGCGGCTGCGGCTGCTAAGAGGAGTCATTGAGCAAATTCATCTGTCAGCTGGCATTGCCAGCGTGACTGAATCGTGGCTATCACCGGCCCGGCTCTTCAGCGCCATGCGCGCGCGCGCGATGCCAGGCCTCAGTCCAACGCTCCGACTCAAGCCTGAGAATGCGAGTTTGTTCCCGCGTTCCTGGGCAGCCTGGCACCCTGTGCCTCTGCCTGTGCCTGGGTGACAAGTGCGGACAGTCACAGTGGTGGTTATCCGAGGAAACTCGCTCGGTCGGGACCCGACGTGCAGGTAGGCAAGCCACAATGAAGACTGGCACGTGTGGCTGGATCATACCTCGGCACCTACAGAATGCTCAAATGGGACCACCGGCCATGGGTGGCCTGTCTTGCTCCTGGTTAAGCCACATCACACAGACAAATTCATGAGTCACAAATTGACACCAAACATGCCCAACCTATGACTATGTAGGTTACTATCAAACGTCGACTATGCGTACTCCGTACCGAATGCATTTCGTGCCAATTCGGCTACAAACCGAGAACGCGGGGACGTATAACATGGGTGGGTAGTGGAGCGGAATGATGACCGAAAGCGGTTCAGGAATAGTAGCTAATAGCACTGCGCCACATCTCTCTCGGTTTGCAAGTTGCGGCTTGCCGCCTGCCAATGCCAATCCCACCCTGCCGTTAATTGCCATGCTGGGTGACTTGTGTGAATATTACCTCGCACCGTTACCAGATGCCCGGTATCAGATGGACTGCGCCGTTCAAAGTGGTGAACAGGTTTTTTGATAGTGCACACGCGTCTGAGCCCAATCAGATGAAGTATCGTGAGGAAATACAGTGAGCAAACGTCTTGCGAATTTGTAGGTAGTAAGGCATAACGTAAGTAAAAGGTAGGTTAGAATGCGTGGGCGACGAATTCATCGCTGGGTGACAAGGACAATTCAAAAGCCCTGCCTATTGTTACTGTGTGACGTTGGCCGCAAACTCTAAGTGGCAATCGGATTCTATCCAGACTCAAGGGCATCTGTATGGTAAGGTTTGGTTAAGTTTGGATGTGCTTAGTTTAGCAGAAGCCGATGCGTGCCATGCAAAGCGAAGAGGGAGCCAGCCACCAGCCACCAGCCACACGGCACCAGCTGGGCAGTAAGTACGAGTCCGATTAGATAAGCAAGATAGAAAGATCACGGGACCTGACATCATTCTGAAAGAATTCTAAGGCACGTCCAGGTAGCTGCTGGTTACGAAACCTTGCTATCATTTGTCATCGACAAAATATCTTAGTCAACACGCCGATGAGAAAGACGTCTCTGGTCATTGGGCCTGGCACTGGAATATTACACCTACCAGCATGGTGTCCGTACCTTACCTTGCTTACCTACGTGCTTATTTGCTTACCTCCACAAATGTCCCATAAGGCCATTGAAGTGCGTAGGAACGGCACGGGGAGAACGCGATGACAGGGGGGACCAATCGGGAATTCGTGCTACGGATACATAGATTCTATTCTTCACTACGTTGTTCGATGGCGTGTATCCGTACCTGCAGACGACAACCACGAGGCCGAGGGAGATGCACTGCATAATTAGAAAGCGCCAGCTCCTGCGGGTAAATGGACTGACACCTTGACATATTGTGTATGATTGGGTGGCTTCTCTCGGCTTGAACGAAACGGACAGTCGAGCGCAACCGCGCTGTGGCTGTGTGGCTGAGCCACAAGCCTTCGACCAATGGAAAGCAGCGCCCCTGTAAGAAGTGAAAGCGATCTCGCTTTTCTCTCTCTCTCTCTCTCTTTATCAGTCTCGCGGCCTCGCTGCCCGGGGTTCTCCCCTTTGGACCGCGGGGCACGAGCGAAATCCCCCTCCCGTCCTCCGAGGCTTCGCCGAAGTGAATTTCCAAGAACCTTTTCCTCCCTCCCTTTCGGGTGCCTGCATCATTGCATTTTCAAAAACCAGCACAGACTGAGGTCATGGCATTTTCGCACGAACCCCTGTTCCCTGTCTGCCCGCGTTGACCAAACACTTCCATCACACCCACATGAACATCCAGCCCGACAGGACCCTTCAAAACATGCAGCCTTCGTGGGGCCATGGCATGGTAGAAGCGACCGGTGCAGCGAGCATGGAAGCGATCTTCGTCCCCCTCACTCTTCCCTGGAGCGCTCCACCCGCCATCGACCATCGGCGTTTGCCCGCCAGGCTGGCACGCTGGCATGGCCGGGTAACATATGGAGCTGCGATACGGATACTCTGTGGGTTCTTGGATGACATTTCTCGCTAGCAGGCACGCGGGCCAGAATCTCAGATACCTAGTGGTCCTTGACGTTGCATGATATCAGTGTCTACCGTATATAGTCAGGGTTATCACAGAAAGGCCAGAAGATATCTTTTCACGCTGTACGGACTACGGATATGCATACTTGGAGACGGATCCTGGAACTGGAGATTTCGATATCAATTCTCCCCACCTTCTGTCGGTCATTTTGAACAAGGAGATGGTCGCTGACGATCAATCACCGGTGAGAGATAAAGCCTGCAAGCAAGGTGACGGATGGCCCGTGTCGGTCCAAGAATAAGATGCATCCATGTGCCATCATCGGGGGGTGGTATTCTGGTAGGTTTGTCTAAGTTGTAACGTGGTAAAGGTGTGCTTGTGTGCGTTCCGGCATGTCATCGAGTGGGCCCACCACCCCATTAATCCATTCGATTTTCCTTCCAGTGACACAGTATTAGGTTCCGCACCATGGGAAGCGACGACCAAATGTGGGAGGTACTACGTAGTGACAAGTAGTGTAAGCCTGTGAGGTAAGCTTCTAAGTTCTCCGGCACATTCTCTGAAATATCCGTGCAGGAGAGGTGGATGGGTACCGGGTCTTGCACTATGGCGGCGAGCTATGAGACCTGAGTGGTCCGACCTTCCGCCCTACGTCACTCCACCAGCCCTCGACGGGATTATCGATGTCGTTCCGGCGCCGGAATGGAGTCCACCTACGTCTTGATCGCTGCTTCTCATGACCCTTTGAGTACAACCACCCGCCCAGCGCAGCATCAAGCGCAAGCCTAGCCGAGCACCCTGCCAAGTCCTCTGTGTTTCCTATCTGCCTCTGGTTCCATGTTCCACTACCAGTATCTCAAGCTGGAGGTGCTATGGAAAGAGAGCAAGAATTCTCGGGTTACTTCCGTGCTATCTCCCACGCTCGCATCTTCCCGCCTTGTCCGTCTCGCTCAACCCGCAGTGCGTAGGTGCCATAGCCAAACTGCCTTCTTGGTAGGTATGCTCACTCATCGTTTGTTGAGTGGAGGGTCTAAACTGTCAAATCCAATTGTCCTTCGTTACTAAGGCTGCCTGCTGCAGCGGATAAAGTATTGATGAACGACACTGACTGAAAGAATTTCTAGAGGCTTCGAGCAAGCCCTCGTCAGTTTGTACCACCGCACGCTACTTTATCATTTTGGATTGTAAATTATTTGTCTATTGCCCACGGCCATGCTCGCTTTCCGCGTACTCCGCCCTACTACTGCGTAGGTACACAACGCACTGGGCCATGGCCGTTCCCGATCTCTCTTTCCGTCATGTGACTCAATTTGCATCCGCGTCAGCTGTTCAGGAGTCCGTTGTTGAGGACTCACTGTTCCGCCCACCTGCGGCCATTTCAGTAACACCATCCCGCTGGGTCTTTCTGCCTTAACTCCGGATCAATGGGTATTAGGCCTCGGCGCACTTCCTTTGCTGCTTTCTACTCCTCCGTGCGCTGCTCACATGATGTGGATCGGAGTGGTAGCGAATAGTCACCCAGTACGAATGTCGAAGAGGGAAAGATGTCGAGGGCGGCAGTAGGTGAGCTTTTCTCGTGCTTTCTGCTTACCTTATGCGCGTCACATTGCAAGCGCATTGTTCAAGCAACTGCTTGCTCGCTGGGCTGCTTAACAGACACAAAAACTCAAAAACACCGGTTGGGCCGTTGGTCGGTCTTGAGGATTCCTCGACCTTCCAGCAAATGGAATCGAGGAAAAAAACAATTCAAGGACTCATACCGCACGCTCTTGGTCGACTTGGTCATCATCCCACACACCTGAAAAATTTCTCCCAGTATCCCCCCTTCCGGGCCCTTCCCTTCCTGCATCCAGACCTTAAGCTGGTCTCACCCCGGTCCCGATCCCAAGACCCCCCTGTAACCCTCCTCTACATACCACACTGATCCCATCCCCGGGAGCGCCAGCACAACTTGTCCAAGCCTCGGGTCCCCTGCCGGTACCTCCGCCCATCGTCCGCGTTGCGAGAAGCGGTACGTACCCACAGCGCGCTACCTTACCGCACACCCTGGTTCTTCTCCCCAAGCCCCACAGCCCACTTCGAGTACGTACCTGGCTACCTACCTCATTGCAAGTCCCCTACGTAGTGCAACCAACCCGCTGCCTCTCTAGTCTTGCCATCTTTATAAGTCATCGTCCCTCCATGGTTTGCCACTCGGTTTATATTTCACACCATCACACCTACAAAACATCTAAACTTCTCAACTTCAACACCATGCTGTTGACCCGACCCACTACTTCACAATCTACTCAGCAACATCAGCAACAGCAGCAGTTCGATCCCCATCACTCCAACCTATACCATCAGTATCAGACACAATCACAGCACTTTTACCCCCAGTCGATCGATTTCGACCTCGACGCTTCCTTTGACGACGCTGCGCACGATCTTACTTCCTCAAGCATTTCCTCGTCTCCACTTTCGACTCAATCTTTTCTTTCTTCCCATTATTCTCTAAGGAACACCTCGGCCGATCTTACGAGCTACGACACATCCCATTTGGCCGTCCCAAGACGTTCAGCGACAAACACCTCAGCACTCGACGACTCTGCACTGGACTACAACCGTCAGTATAACCTCATGCAGTCAGACGCGTGGGCACTTGGGAATCACCACGCTCCCAAGACCATTGGTCGACTATCCCATCAGCGGGAGTCATCTTTGTCTTCCCTCGGTTCAGCCGGTCCCGCCTCACCCTTCAACTACAGCACATTAAATCCCCAGATCGCAGTCACAGACTCGACACCCGACGGACTATACGATATGCAGGCCCACGACAGTAATGCCTTTTACCAACTGTCCAATAAATCAATGGCGGTGTCACACGACAACATGTACCCCAACTACAACGGATTGCAAAACATTTCTTCGGACATGGCTGGCTACGCCTCAGCTATGAACGTTCAACGACCGCGCTCTGACCGCGGGTTACTACCTGCACCTGAACTTTCTATGGCCGGCAGCAGATCACACCCAAACTCTGTGGCAAGCTCCATTGCCGGAGACTCACCCGCAACACCATCACATCTCGACCACGAAGATGATAGACGGCGGAAAGCTGGTAAGCAATGCCTTCCTCACTTTCTATTGAACACATGCTTACCTGGATTTTACGACGCAGTGTTCAGCAATGTTCCCAAGTTAGACCGTACCATGACAGACATTTACAATGATGAGCTGTACAGTCCTAATTTCACCATCACTTCGGCAGCCCCAGCACAGAACCAGATGGCCGTATCGCCTAGCAACGATGTGTTCGCTCAACGACTGAGTGCTGCAAACAACCAACACCTCAGCGCTGCTCAGTCGCCAGTATCTAGTGTCTCGCGCGACCGCTCGCCATTCCGTCAAGGCTCACCATTGGCACCTACGCCCAATCACGACTTCGGGCAAGGTGTCCAAGCCTCTCGTCTACGGTTCAATTCGGCCCACCAGATCCGGGAACAGAAGAAGGCGGAACATGACGCACAGATCATGAGACAGCAAATGGCCGTCAAGTCAGAGCCTGAGACTCCGAAAACAATCTCGCCAAAGGACGCAATGCTGGAATTCCACGACGGTGATGCTGAATCTTCATTCTCACTGTTCCCGTCCCAGGAAACGGTCAATTTTGAGGATATTGCCAAGGCAGTTGCTACCCAGGACCAGCAGGCCAACTTTGCTAGGTCTGCCATGCAAAATGGGACAGCTTTCCCTTACATGCCTGCTCAGCTTCAGACCGCCGTCCACATCCCCCAACAATACCCGTTCATTGCCCATTCGCGTCAATCTCACGAGCAGGTTCCTCGACTTAGCTCTGCTGAGTCCAGTACTGGAGGATCGGAAGTGACTTCGATCTCACACGGGACACCCATGGCTAAGCCTGCTGGTGCTACTGCAGACGGCGGCACTTACACGTGTACCTACCACGGCTGCACGATGCGATTCGAAACTCCTGCACTGCTCCAGAAGCACAAGCGAGAGGGGCACCGACAGACTCAAGGTGGTATTGGGGGGCCAAGAAGACCCGAGGCGGTTGCTACATCCCCCGACAGCATTCTCAACAGCCAAGCGGGTCCTCACCGTTGCGATCGCATCAACCCTAGCACTGGCAAACCGTGTCACACAATATTTTCACGCCCGTACGACTTGACTCGGCACGAGGACACTATTCACAACGCGCGTAAGCAGAAGGTGCGCTGCAATCTTTGCAACGAGGAAAAAACATTCAGTCGTGCCGATGCGCTCACGCGACATTACCGAGTCTGCCACCCGGACGTCGAATTCCCAGGCAAGCATCGCCGCCGTGGGCACAATGTTTAGATACGTTGCTATCGCAATCAAATCTGAAAATACTCGAGGTTCATCATACATTGGCCTTTATTACACGGATCATCGTCTACACACACCGACATTCTGGTTAGCTCGGACGAAGGTTACTCCGCGGCATATTTCTATCATCGCCTGAAGAAATCACAAATAGCCGGGGATGCTACATTCATTCATCCTCGCGCGCTACGACCATGAGCCCAGGCGACGTCAAGAGCGCGGGAATGAACCAAGGATGTGGGGCGATTGGGCAAGTCAACAAGGGCGGAAATTCAGGGTCCTCAGGTGCAGTAAGGGTTGTGCAACATGACATCATATGGTCTGTGCACGACGACCCTGACGATCCGAATGACCCATGATGACGTCACTTCTACTCTCAAATCACATCGGAACCGTGCGGCTAGAAGTCGTGCAACTCACTGTGTACGCCGACCCCACTCAACGACATCATCATGAGTCTTGGCACCATCATCCACCTCCGCCGGCGTTCCTCGAATTGGGAACTGATGGGACGAGACCCGGAGGGTGGGTGGTCATGACGCTATTTCGCCTACATACCTACTATGGGTTGCCAGTATTTGTCCAGCACATTGGGTGGATAGCCTATCAAGTCCCTGTCCTTACACCTATCATGATGCCATCATTAGGTGTTGACTGTTCTTTTGATGGGTTTCACGGATTTGCTGCTATATTGAGGGTAGCGAGGTTTGAACATAGTTTGTTTATTTCTTATGTGATGGGTCAAGGCAACGCGATATGGAGCGAGTGTTTTCACTACCTTGTTTCTACTACATGGCGAGAATTATGAGACATTGTACATTATATTATCATGGTCTAAAGTCGAGACCGCTGGGCTAGAAAAAAAAAGGGGGGGCAGGAAACGGAACGTATCATGGGTATGTGGGCGTTGCTGGTTTTAACGACATGAGATCATGATGGAGAATAAGGCATTATAGAAGTATTAATATGTACAACAAAACACCATTTTGATCAGGCGTCCCATTTCAGTCGGCATCGCTCTCAGTGCAATGGAGGTAGCCCCCATAAGGTGACGGCTATTGTACGATGTGTGTTGGTTCCCGTGTGGAAACAATCTGCCGCAACGGTACACACCGATTAGAGGACAAGCTCACACCACTAGTTCACTCAACTCAGTTCTTCATCCGCCAATTCTTAGATAAGTTCCCAAAGTCTAATCATCTACTGAACATTTAGGTCTGTCTATGCGGCATAAAGCTAGCCTCTACAACTCCTTTCCTCCAATTAGTCAGCCGAACAGACGCGGCACCGGTGATATTCGGTGCGCTTGTTCAACCATCGGTGCTTGCATCATGTCTTGATCCCGCTGGCTTCCGCGTCTTCATCGCCCAAGACGGCTGCCCGAGCAGTCTGGTAGAGAGGGGTGATGTCTGTCCATTTCTGGAACTAGGTTCAAATCAAGTTAGCTGCCTATGTCTCGTTCATCTCTCTAAACGATTCCGTCGCCCATAAACATTGACTTACCTGATACCAACCCTGAGCTGAGAGCACTTCAAGACCAGGGATGGTCTCCCATCCGGCATCCTCAGCCAATTGCATCAGCGGTGTATGGCGAGGCTGGTAGGCCATCTCGAGCAGAACGCGTTTCCTGTCGGTTGCAGTGTCTTGACGCAATACCGCCATGAGCGTTTCGCGAAGCGAGGGATCAACTGGCTTGTCGGCAGGGATCGTGCTGACCATGACAGTAGGCGAGGACGCTAGTGCAGGAATTTCGCTGGCATTCTTAAGAGCTTCGATGCGATAATCCGAGGGGAACGACGCCTTCAGGGTCTCCAAGTTGCCGCTGTTGCGTGCCAGAGCGTAGATGGGCCCGAAGCCAAGTGCGTGTAAGGCGAAGATGGCAGCTCGTGTTGTTCCACCTGAGCCAATAACGATGGCAGAGGACTGGCCGTCTTCTGTCGACTGGGACGAAACACCTACCGACTGAAGAGAGTGAACCATGCCTGACCAATCAGTGTTGTCACCGACGAGCTTAGCCGTGTCTCCGCCGTTGGATACCGGGATGATGGTGTTGACAGCGCCAATGATACGAGCAGCCTCCGAGACTTCATCAATTTCCTTCATAATGTCCAGCTTGAGCGGGATTGTCACGGAAGCGCCGCCAAAGTCAGGAGCACGGATCAACTCGCGCACTTCGGTAGCATCAGCCGTCTCTTTGCGCAAGTAGTGATGCGGCAATCCGACCAGATTGAAAAGAGTGTTGTGCAGAGCAGGTGACCTTGACGCTGCGATGGGACTACCAAAAAGATAGTAGGTTTGGGGGTTGATGTCACCAAGCAACGCCAAGGCTTGTCGAATCTCAGCTGCAGACAACTGCCCCGGGGCTGCTTTGAATGGTAGACTGGGATGGGAGACAGGGGTGAGACATCCATTCAGAACACGGCTGAGCTTCCCAGCTTGTCCCATGTTCAGAGCGATGATGGGGATCTTGTGCGAGGACAGCATATCTAACTTGAACTGGGCCAGGTCATAGTTGTCCTCGATACGCTTGGCGACACCGACCAGCTTGATCACATCACCCCACTGAAGAGCCTTGTTGTAGAAAGGGATCCAAGAACCATTCTTCCACGACAGGTTGCCCTGGGGATCATGGTGGGAGGCAATGATACGCGCGGGTCCCTTGTTCTCCACGACTGCTCGTATGACTCGCTCAGGAAGTGTCATCTCAACATCGATGAACTCAACTCCCATACGAATAGCTTTTTGGTATAGCCCAAGACCTTGATCGTAGGCGTCATCGGGGAACTTCCCGCCCTGAGACTGTGTGCGCAGAGTGAAGATGATGGGCACATCTGCCACCGATCTAAGAAGCGCAACCTGATGCGCCACGAACTCCTCAGAGTAATCTTGGAGCAGGTCCACGCGAAGCTCCACGGCGTCGGAGCCGACCACAACAGCCGGTATCAGAGTAAGAGCTGAGGCAACCTCCGGTATCGTGAGGGAAACAAAGAAACTAGGATTCTTTGCTAGTGCCTTGTTCACTTGGATCTGCTCTCCGCACAAAACATTGACGAAGCGGCGAAAGTCCAATGGCGGCTCCCGTGTAGCCAATGTACCAGGAGGATGAGGGCTGAAGTACTCAAAGTTGCTGCACTGCTCGAAGAAGGGCTTCCGACGCCAGTAGACATCTTCAATGTCTTCTCTGTAGGCCGGCCTTGATTTGTCCTGCAAAAGGTAGTCGACAACTTCCTTCGTATTCCGGTGGACGAGTAACACAGTGCCGTTGTTCTGGCAGTGGGCGACAAGCAGTTTCCGAGCTTCAGGAGTCTCCACAATGCCGCCGCCGCATGAGAAGATATGCCCGTGGCTCTGTTTCTCCAAGACATCCCGGAGAAGTTCAAACTCGTCGTTTCTGAAGCCTGCCCAGCCCTTGGAACCTCTAATCATTTCCGGAATTGTCATGCCTGACCGCCTTTCCAGTTCCTCATCCAAGTCGATGAAAGGCCTCTTCAGTGTAGCGGCCATCCATCTCCCCGCAGTCGTCTTGCCAGCGCCACGCATACCAATAATGACTACGGACTTGTCCTTACGAGATCTTGTGGGAGGTCCCGTAGCCACTGACTTGGGGTGCTGGTCGATACCGTCAAGCTCAACGTTAAAGAACTGTGACATGGTATCCCACCATCCCGGCCATGTCTTGCCAGTGCATTCCCTCTCAAGAATCGTCACAGGTCTGGGGGATACCACTGAAAGAACGCTGAAGCTCATGGCGACGCGGTGATCGTCGTAGCAGTAGATACTTTCGGTGGGCTGCTGCAGCCCCTGCACACCACGGCCGGTAATGATGATCCCGTCGTCGAACTCGTTAGTCTCAACGCCAAACTTGGCCAGTTGCTCGCGCATTGCCCCAATCCGATTGCATTCTTTGACGCGCTGGTTGGCAATGCCGCTTATCTTGGTTGTTCCCGACGCCGCAGCGGCCAAAACGGAGGCTGTGAGGAAAGCGTCTGTCATAGGTTCCATGTCAACATGCTCAATGGCCTTGAGATTGCCAATGGGCGGTCCCGTAACAGTTGTCGAAGTTCCAGTCTGCTCGACCGTACAGCCCATAGGTCGCAGCACGTCAACAGCGAATCGAGAGTCGCCTTGAAGTGACTCTGAACCAATGTTGGGCACAGTACAAGTGGTGCCGGTGATGGCCGCAATAGCCAAAGGATAGGTAGCAGAACTGGCGTCGCTCTCAACTACGTACTCGGCAGGGTTTTGGTACACGGCCTTCGGAATGTGGTAGGTATTGGGCTCCGTTGTCGATTTCGTGACGTTCACACCAAAGGTGCGCATCATAGAGATGGTCATATCAATGTAAAACTGAGATATGGGCTTTCCGCCTACGAGTCGCAGTGTGACTGGGTTTTTCGCGTAAGGTGCAGCCATGAGGATTGACGACACATACTGTGATGAGATGGTAGCGGCCAATTCGATGACTCCGCCCTCAAAGCCATTGGCAGCATCCACCTGTAGAGGAAGACTCTTCTCTTGCCCGAGGTACTTGATTTCCAGCCCATTGGCCCTCAGAGCATCGACGAGAGGACCAATTGGACGAACTCTCATGCGAGCGTTGCCGGTAAGTACGGTGGAAGACACACCGGATGGCGCACAAAGAGCCACGACCGTCGTCAGAAATCGGGACGCAGTACCGGCGTTGCCAAGGTACAGCGCCTCTTTGCTGGCAGTGAGCTCGCCGCCTTTGCCCTTGACAGCCAACACCTCTCCAGCATCTTCCCAAGCATATGTCGCACCCCCTAGCTGGGCGATGGCTGACAACATGTACTCTGTATCGTCAGAATGCAGCAGATTCGTGATCCGGCACGTCCCTTGCCCGAGAGCGGCGAGAACGAGAGCACGGTTGGAGATAGACTTGGAGCCCGGGGGTGTGACTATGGTACCGTGAGACTTCGGCGTGCCAGGAATGACCTGAGTTGCCGGTGACAGAACTACCCTGATGACGTGGTCTT